TAGTTCTCCCTTCAGGTTCCTCTTGCTTCTAGGGTTGGGGGGTATTATTAGGAAGGAGACTTCGTGGATCCATTAAAAGATTTTAAAACTTGCTAAATGATAGATCTCAAAGCACAATTATTGACAAAGACTCATTATGATGTTTCCCCCCCCCTCGGGTGCCACGTGGATCTGGGGTACCACTGAGCCCCCCCAACCCACCAGCCTGGGCTCCCACTCACCCTGTAATGCTGTGTCAAGCTGCAGACAGGCTCCCAGTCTCACACTTTCACCAGCACATAGGTAGGGCCACACCCAGCTGCAGCTACACACAGATGCTGAGATCAGCTGTACACGGGAAGGCTCAGCTAAGGAACTGCCCAAGTTCACACCCCCTTTGAAAGGTAAACCCAAAATTATACTGTCTTGCACTGCACAGAGTACTGTACAGCACAAGCTCATGAAATTCATCCCCTCCCGCAATGTGGAGAGGAATATACACAGCTTTCTGCCCCAAGTTATGATTTCCACACACACACCGGTTTTTGATAGAGCAAAAGCAAAATTTTTAACTACAAAAGATAGATTTTAAGTGATTATACGGGATAGCAAACAGATGAAAGCAGATTACCCAGAAAATAAAACAGAAATGCAATCTAAGATTACTATACTAAAGAAATCAGATACGAGTGGCAAATCCTCACCCCGTTTGTTGGTTTGGGCAGTTTGCAGAGATTCTTGAGGGCAAGCTGCACTTGCTTGCAGCTTAAAACCCCAGTTATACCTTTCACAGGCTAGAAATCCCTCGAGCCTGGGTTCAGCCCGTCTCCCCCAGTTCAGTCCTCGTTTCTCAGGTGTTTCCAGCAATCTTCTTGGTGGGGAGTCAGTGAAGAAGAACCACAATGATGTCACCCCCCTGCCTTAAATAACTTTGGCATATGGCGGGAACCCTTTGTTTCCAACTTTTAGTTCCCACACCTTTCAGTGGAAAACCACTACTATTCTATGATGGAGTCCAGTACCAGGTAACTTGGTCACATCTCTCTGTAGGACCATAGCAGCCATGACTCGGAGGCCATTTGTAGTGTCCTCAGGAAGGCTCCCTGGTAGGAGATTAGCATCTTCTAAGACCTATTGTTCTCCCTAATGGCCCTTCCCAACCAGCCATCTAGACCCATTGCGTTCTGTCTAGTGGGTGTTCCCCAAGGTGGAAACACATTTGTAATAGATGCATAGACAATATTCCTAACTTCAGATTCCAAAATGATACATGCATACAAAGAGGATATTCATATTCAGTAAATCATTACCTTTTCACATGACCTATCTTGGATAAAGTACACCACAGACTGGGGGAGTCTGGCCCCAGCCCCGTCCCTTCCATCTGAGGCCCTGCTCCTTTTGGGGGACCAGAACCGCCCACCCTCACCTTGCCCAGAACCCTGGCCGCCCTACATACTGGTAAGTCTGTTAAGTTACTTTCACCCCTGCTTCCAGGCACTAGAATACACCAATAGCCAGGAGGGTCCCTAGGGAAATTGGAGATAGGAAAGAATGCTCAGCTTTGAAGAGACAAGCACTCTGGTCTGGGGAACAGGTCTCTGCCACAGAATGTGCTTAAAATCATACTAAAGGTCCAGAGAAAAGACACAAGGAAGAAACTTAAAGGAGCAGAACCCGGCTACTGTGCACATGATTTTCACTGGTGCAGCAGATCTATACTAGGAGTTTGTATGATGCCAACTCCTGTGATTTTAATCACAAGTGTCCTGATATTTAGTGCTTGTCTTTAAGCACCCAGCTCCTGGAGCCACGTGATTACCAGAGAATCTCAGCTTTGCTTGAAAAGAAAAGTATGTTTCTAGTCCTTATGGCTGTGGAGAAAAGTTTGAAACCATCACAGAAGTGCCCCATAAAGGTCCTAAGCCAGAAGACAAATACAAAGATCCCAAAAGCTGTTGTTTTTTAAAAAATCATGTGATTTTTGAATGCTTGAAGTTGGCAGTCCTGGGTTTGCACCAGTTCAGCTCTAATCTCTGTAGCTATATCCGCTGCTAAACTGCAGCGTAGACAAAGTCTTAGCATGGCACTCAGAAAAACCTTTCAGAAACCTTCAAATTATGGGAACTCCATTTCTCCCGATGATATGACATTTCCTTTAATCATGCTTCTCCTTTTTAAAAATAGAAGAAAACATCAGTCACCAGAGAATGCATGTTGGGCAACTTCTTTCTACAGTGAAAAAGCAGCCTTTTCAAAGGGAAGTGGGGCAGCTGACACATCTAGAAACTTGACACCATAGAACTGGTCAGTGAGGTTTGGGGTTTCATTTCCAACTCTCACAAAAGAAAGAGGGTTCCTGCGATCTCCTGGAGAACCCAGATGTACCAGAGGAGCGATTCACCCGCCGAGGGAACCAGGACCATGAGGATTTTCTCTGTTTTGCTTTGGATTCTTTTCCCAGGTGAGAATGACATGGTCTTTTTGTGGATCACTAGAAATACAATGCAAGTATTGGGTTTGCACAGGGTTTGCCAGCTTCACCAACAGAGCTTGAAAGTCTCAGCTCTGCTCTTGCTGTGGTTCTAACTCACAGGGGAGATGGAACTTACAAAGTGGGCAGGACAGTAAAGATTTCAGCACAGAATCTGTGTCCGTGTCTGCGGAGACAGTTTTCTATGAAGACAAAGCAAGGAAAATTTCAGCTGAAAAGGAGAGTTTTTCAGAACGTTCTCAGCACAGCTGGACAAAGAACAGAAAACAATATTCATTACAATTATTTGATGAAAACATTGCCAGCATTTGGAACAATATTATTTGCAACAAATACTGAGGCTAAGAAGGTAGCCAGATTCTAAAAGGGATTGGAGATTTACATGGATATCGAGAATATCCAGTTATCATAAAAAGACCAGGAGTACTTGTGGCACCTTAGAGACTAACAAATTTATCATACCAGTTATCATAATTAGCATCAACCAAAATTTTGGATGAGTAATTAAAGCACACACTTCTGGGCTTAAGGCGATGTCTAGCTATTAGAGATCAGGAAGAGACCAAGGAGGAGGGTGGAGGCGGGGCGGGGGAAGAGAGATTGTCCCACATCTGCATACTGCAGGATTCTTACATGTTTCTCTAAAGCACGTGGCTCTGGCCACTGTTGGAGACAGAATACTGGATGTTGAGTCTCATCCAGTCTGGTTATTCCAATGTTCCTATAAGATGAATTCTAGCCATGAACATATGAAAACAGAAAGTTATAATAAATGTCATCTTGTAACCTTGACCGTATGGGACACTACCCATGTGATAGTTATAACTAATTCTATAGGGTGTGATTATTTCCATCTACAGAAAATTACTTTCATCACTGTACAGTCTGAGCATCTTTCAAAGAAGGTTTGCAAAAGTGCACCAAATAGTACAGTTTGGAACTTTTCAGACTTTCTATGAGACAACATCACACTCAAGATGAGCTCCGCGGTAGGTGTGACATCCCAACCTGGTGCATTTTGGGGCATCACATTATAGTAGGAACTGGCCGAATCAGTGTGTAGGTAATAGTGCACTGCTTCCCCCTGCCTGGTTATTGGGGACATTCAGCACCAGTGGCTAAAGTTCCTGGTTTATGATCATTTATCTGTGTAGTACACACACACACACACACACACAAAAGGCCTATAGTCGGAAAAGGTCCTTAAAGAGATAAGAGCTGGGAAAGATTGATCAATCACTCATGAGACAAGGCCTCTGGTTTGGGGAACAGACCTTCACCACAATATGGAGCTAAGAACAAACTGTAGCTCCAGGATAAGGACCAGCAGGAGTGAGCTCAAGGGAGCAAACCCCTAATGTAGACACGGTTTGTACTGGTGCACACTGCCTATATTAGGTGATTGCAGTGTTACTATTTCTTCTGGTTTTATTGCAATTCTCTCAATAGTTGGTGTTTTTTCTTAACACTCCAGCTCCTAGATACCTGTGATTTGGGGAGAGTTTCAGCTTTCGTTTAAAAAATGTTTCTATCTGTCACAGTTGTGGAGTAAAAGCTTGAGAACATGGTCCAAGTGCAACCTAAAGACTCAAAATCCAAAAGGCAAAGAAAAACAAACACACATTTACACTGCTACCTCGCTATAACACGACCCGATATAACACAAATTCGGATATAATGCGGTAAAGCAGCGCTCCGGGAGGGGGGGGGGGGCTGCACACTCCGGTGGATCAAAAGCAAGTTCGATATAGAGCAGTTTCACCTATAATGCGGCGAGATTTTTTGGCTCCCGAGGACAGCATTATATCGAGGTAGAGGTGTATTTATTTTTTTCAAAAAATCTCGTGACTTTTAAGCCAATCTCATGATTTGGGGCGGGGGATGTTGACTCATGACTTTTGATTACACTTGGGTATGTCTACACTTAAACTGTTACGGTGTCACAGTTAAGCCGCTGTAGCACTTCACTATAGACACTACCTACGCCTACGGGAGGGATTCTCCCATTGGTGCAGGTAAACGACCTCCCTAAGAGGTGGTATCCAGGTTGACAGAAGAATTCTTTCAGCCATCTAGCACTGTCTACACAGGGGGCTAGGTTGGCATAGCTACTTCTCTCAGGGTGTAGGTTTTTCATACTCCTGAGTGGCATAGCTACGCCAATGCATATTCCTAGCGTAGACTAGTCTTGAGGGTTGGAAATATTGAAGATATTAACCAATTGCAACAGTTAAGTATTGCAACTTTTACTCCAAACCCGTTCCTACCACACGTGCATGGAATGGAAGACCTGACTCACCATATCTCACACCTTGTGTAGTCATTTACATCAATGCAAAGTGGCTGTCAAACATGGCAATCTCAGAATGGCAGCATTTTACACTCACTTTGCACTGGTGGAAATGACTACAGGAGGGGCAGGGCAATGGTGAATCAAGTCCCCATTCTTCATGGGTTAGGAGGTTCTTTTGTGTGTCTTCCTACAACGAAAGGGACTTCAGACTATAGAGAGTCAGACAGTTAGGTTTACGCCTCCTGAAAGTTTCAAATGTTCAATGTACTCTTTCTGAATTAGATACAAGCCCTCAAATAGCCCCAAAATACTTTTTTAAAAGGGGGGAAAATGTATTTTCAAAATGGTTAAACTAAAAATCGCTGATGAAATTTTGCATAAAAACATCATCTCTGGTCTCAGACAAAGCCAGGATAATTTTGGCTGAAGAGGAGAATTATTCAGAACATTATCAGCAGAGACAGTTAAATAATGGAAAACCTTATTCACTAATAACTACTTGATG